TGATGGATTAAATATCAGCTCTGGTTGGATCAGGGGATGAACTGCATGAATTGAGTGCTGTCACGTTGCATGAATAAACGGCTTATTTTATTTGATAAGTTTAATGGGGGGTTGTGTCATGCTTAGGAAGTTTAATTCAAGGTTCATCGTTATGCTGCAATAAAAGTGAAACTTCAAGAACAAAAGTACAAGAAATGGGTGAGTCGGCTTCAATGCAGAATTAAAAATTGTTTGTGTTACTTGGAACATAATTTCTTCCGGAGAATGCCAAGAGCTTTACTTCACTAGTGAGAAAGAGCGGTTAGTTTTGATGACTTTGCTTATCCTTCTCGTATTGTCTCAGGCTTTGTAAAGGTTTGGTTATTTCGGAGTACAGTAATTTTTCCTTCGTACGTATTCGCGTATAAGCTGGACGTTTCCCACTGCGTGACGAGCAAAATTGTGCTGAAAATTGTACCCTATCATCAACTTGATGTGACGTGAAATTGTCACCGGCTTGTAATCTATAGATTTTACGAGCCGTTCTAATGTTTCTCCGTTGGTGTTGAATACATGTACTGTACTTACTAAACAAGTGCGTTAGTCGTAAAACCCAATTGTTACTCAAAAAAACCCATTTTGTGGTTATGGATGATGCAAATGGAATATATCTGTTCATGCTTTTGAAATCGAGTAATTCTTACGGGTAAAGCGGTTATGCGTGGTTTACGGTTGTCTTAGGAAGTAGTCATTAGCAGTTTGTTGGGATGAGCAACCAACGATGGAGCAAAAATTGCTGAAGTGGCGAAACTGGATGATTCCAGCTACGTTGCTAAAACTTTGTAACTTCATCAGCGCACCTAAACCAGAACACAAGCAATAAAAACTTCAAAGAATTCATGGGTGATCGTCGTTCGCCCAAGCGTCCCGAAAAAGGTTCCTCTTTTCTTTTTTTTTCTTTCGGAACGGTGCTCAGAATGACCAATTTGTCGAGTGGCACATTCGGACGACAGAAATTATCCAAGTGACAAAGTCACCGAACATGTTCTTACATGATTTTTAATTGTTCACCACGAGTTCCGCTGACTTGCTCTGACACGCAGAGAAATTGTCAAGAAGTTTACGGTCAGCATCGCAAGCGTTCTGCCTAAACGCAATGATGAGAACACGAACCCGTTGGTGTATAATAACGCGCACAGCTTATCCGACTCCTTCAACCGTGCAAGGAACATAATCATATACAGCACAGTACAGTAATTATGAAGGATATTCTGAGTCGAGAAGAGCGACATCTATGATGTCACTCTTACGTTTGAAGTGCTGTAATCCATAAATGCTGGCAACCAATGCACCAAAAATAAGAAATTCGTCTGATACTGCGTCACAGTCGCGGTTCGCTGAAAATCTTGACGAAGGCGTTCGAGTCGCACCCGAAGCACCGCGGTGGTCGGTTTCCTGGGTTTATGATGACCAACAGCACTGGTAGATATCCTGAGTATTTTTACGCAAAATCCCCGGGTTCCCGATATTTTCTTGACCGTAAACCACTGCGACACCGCAAATAATCCCGTTGGATCCTCATCTAAGTCTTCGGGTTTGCGCCGTGCTTCTTCCACTGTTGTGCCTCCTGGGCATAAATATTGCTGCACCTTCCGCACAGCACGAACGAGGACGGAAGGCAGCCATGAATTCACGGTTAATTAATAAATATGCGAATGACCGGCAATAATGACAAGAAAAACCGTGAGTCGTGCTTAGCTGAATCGACGTGTTCGTTTTCTTCATTTACCGAAGAACTCAATCGGCAACTCTATGAAGAGTGCTTCACATTAAAGATGCATATATTCAAATCTAACTTCCTTTGAATGCCATTTCATCTCAAAAATATGTTTCTTCGACGATGAACATTCAGGAAGAGGCTCGAGGCCTATTATTATTTTGTATTATTCAGTGTAAGCATGCCATGCATTCATGTTTATTGCACATAATCTAACCATGCAGCAGCCGATTTCTTAATTTCGAAAGTGCCATTTTATTATGTGTGGTTTTGGTTTTTTTTTCTATAAGGATTACGTCCAGCAAAGCGTCGTCAGAATAGATTTTACGCAGCACTTTTGTGTGACGCTGGAAAACAGAAATCTTGAATATTCAAATTTTTCTTGAAACAAGCATGGGTGGCAGCTTTAATTCCAGCAGTTAATCATGTTATATTTTGCTCAGCAAATCAGCTTAGCGAATCTTTTCATGTACTCATGCATTTTTCAATGCAGTCTTCCAGTTTTTCTTCCCTCCCTAAGCCGATATTCTCCAAAATCTCAGAAAGCAACTAAATTACATTTCCCGGATATTCTCATGAGAATTTCTTGGAGAATTCTGTCATGAGCAGCTGTTGACTTTTTCTTGGTTCTCATGGCACGACGCATTTCCTTTTTTTAAAGTTTTCTCGTGCTGCCTTTGTTGATATTTATTTCACGCGCATTTCCATGCCAAGTTATCGTCAAGGACAGAGTTGAATTGAAATCATAAATCGAAGCTCGGTTAATCGAAGTTATGTTGTAATTCCCGAAAGAAAAAAAAAAGAAGAAGCAATGAGTTTGTTGCTTCAGTTCCTCGATATGACCGCCGATAACGACGTCAGAGTTATTTCTGCTTTACGAGTGACCTCAGCATGATCAACGTGGTAGCAGGGCGGAGGAATTTCCGTCGGCATTCTATTTTTCATCTCGTGTAAGATTCGGTTTGCGGTTGCGCAATCCCACGGACACCGACGCCTTAACGCTTGCCCGCAAGTTTCCCTCGAAGTCCGCATTAAAACTCACCAGGCATCACTCCCGCGATTTGTCAAGCATTTCAGGGAATTAAAAAAAAAGTCTTTACCACAGCACAGATTACTGTGTATCCAGCATGATTGCTCCGTTAACTCACTGGCTGTTCTTCCATGTACAGTATGCACTATCCCAAAGTTCTGGAATTTTCGGAGACGAAAACCCCAGGGGCGCAGGGGTGCTGTGTCAAATGCTCGCGTAGCGGGAAATTGATCTTTGCCCAACTGAGCGTCAGCTCAATTAGCTGACTGTTACACTCGGTTGACAAGCATTTGTACGGTATTATCGTTCCTAAAAAATAAAAAAAATATTGGAACATGTTACAATTTTCTCATGCACCTCAGTGCTCGTTATCCTTGCTATGACTGGAATTGAGAAGACAGTAATTGGTGTACCATTTTTCGAGGTACAAAACTTGCTGTATGACATTGAGTTGCTGCCACACAAATGTCAGGAAATTTATGAGAACTAAGTGAATAGAAACAGTAATTTTATAAAGGTCGAAGGAAGCCTTTGAAGGTTACAGGTACACGTGAGACGAATTTTTGCAGATTTGCTCAGCGAAGCCAATTGAGTTGGGCCGTCGTGTGCGCAATTCTAGCCCGCATTTTGAAAGTAATCCTTTCCTGGATGAGTTTTGTTGCGTCACTGTGATGCCAAACGCTGAGTACTCCCTAATAATATGAGGCTTTAATTGTTTGATTTATGTCAAGAGACAATTTTACTATCAAGAAAAAAAATCTGGGGAACGAGTCATATTGTAAGCGGGGCCCATGCATAGTGTTTGAAGGAAGTTATGGTTTGAATTCTTTGTCAAACTCCATGCTTCGGATGTGGTGTGGGTTTTGCTTTCAGCTCCATTTTGAATTCTTCTCATCAATTTGTGTCAAGATTGGTTCTTGCTTTGGTTCACCATTTACAGACGTTATATATTCAGTTTTGGTCAACGTTTTAGTTCAAGTTTTAGATTGAATCTTGCATCATTTTTTTTTTGGGCTTAGATTCTTTCGGGAGAATAAATGTTTCTGGCTACGAGATTTTGTGTTACCGACGATTTTTGTTGTCTGTTTTTGATCGTTGCCCTTATTTGGTGCACGGGTTCGATCTATCGACGAAAGTCGGAATGTATCAGAAAACAAAGGAGTCATCGGGAATATCCTCGCTTCTGCTTTAATGTGCATTGATTTTTTTATTCAAGATTCTTTTGATTCAAGCCCTTTCAGAATCTTAATCATATACTAAGGCATGCTTAGCGAGCTCGCGACATTTTTGGCCAAGGAAAAGCCGGTTTTATTCCTAAAACGGCTCAAATCACCTTAAAATAGCTGACATTGTTTGTGTCTTTTGAAATTGCGGTGCTAACGTTTTCGTATAGCTTCTAGAACGGTATTTATGTTGTTTTATCTCAGAAAATGTCCGTTGGGATGAATACTTGCGTAGCGGAGCCCAGATTATCGAGGATAATGACCAGAAGCAAAGCCGAGGATGGTCAAATATCACGGATCAAACGTTTTATTCTACAACTAACTGATATAATGCTTTTAACCTTCTTTTGAGTCTTGGAGAGCAAAAAGTTCTCCATACGCACTCCGAATAACGAAATAGCTGGTATGTAAATAATTCCACTCATGATTCCTGTGATTCAGGATGCTTGTAGATCCTCATTTTGTGGTATTTTTATGCAACATCAGTCGAAGTGTACGACTTCAATGTCATCATGTGATGGACCAAATCTTAAATTCGAACTGGGCACATTTTACGTACGATATTCGTGTGATGCTTGGTAGTTGTCAGATTTTTCTCTTATCTACTCGCGCGCAAACCCGCCTTAATTGCAAAACTAACAATTTAATTTGCAGATTCTTTCCTATTTTCACATACAAGCTAATTGGAGGATAAGAAGACGAGATTTTATAGTTGCCCTTGAAGTGTGCGAAGACAGGGTTTCTTGTAGTCGAACATGGTCGAGACGGAATTTGTGGGATGTGCTGCTGGGAGCCGTGGGACGCAAAAACCCCGGTGCGAGCGGAGCTACTAATTATTCCGTGAGGGATTCACCACTGCTATGCTCGCTAATCATTTCAGCAATCTTCTTTTAATGAAACCCCGCCAAGGTTAATTCCCGGGTAGCGATAAAATACCGATCACGGAATGTCATTACATGTCATTAAGCTCGCTGCCGGTGGACGTATTTAGATGTTGCCGTTCGCGATGACTGCGTTCCGCGACTGCGTGGAAATGTTGCCGGGTTATAAGCCTGTAGTCGTGTGGAATTAACGTTAAAATGCCTATTCCTCCCCGCAACTTTACTCCGTCATTAAAAGGGGGATCCTGTGACGTGCTCGAATCTCGAGGAAATGCCGCCAGCTTTCTTCATTACATTTTCATGAAGATTGTTTTTTTTAACTTGTTTATCGCGAGCCTTGGATAAAATATAAGTGGCTGGACGTTGAAGGTTTCGGCTACGTTCATTCTGTCGCGTGTGATTTGGGGAATACTTTACGTGCTAAAAATCACTGCTATGGATAGTTTCGATATGATTTCACTTACGGTTTTAGGTTTAAACTTCTCTACTGTACTTCGTGTTATCGACGCAGAACAGTTTTTGCAACACTTTCAAGAACAGTTCTTGCAACACTTTCAGGTATTTTCTTCCCGGCATTGTTTATGAGTTCTTTTACCTTCATTCTCATCCGGTCGTTCCATCAGACAGGTATGAGGGCTAAGCTTCATTTCCACGGATTTGATCTTATTTCTATCATCGTGATTTGTACTTCGTTCAATTCTCGAACAAATGAAAGATTTTGACTTTGAATTTAGAATTCTGAGCATAGAGCCCGAGCGGCGATAAGGTTGGTTATTCATCCGTGTAGGTTGATTCTCCCTACAAGGGTTGTGTCCACAACGATTTTCTCTGTGTAACGAATTTATTTTTAGTCCCATAAGGTTATTTCCTCATGTTGATTGACTGATAAACAAGCTTTATTTTCCGCTTTTCGGCATTCACGAGGTGCTAACAATGTTCCCACATCCAAACCCCTTCCCCTCCCCACCCACATCCATCCAAACACATTCCATCACATCAGGATGGAAAATGGAGAAATTAGCCATACAGTATTAGAAGAAAAGAAAAGGCATCACAGAATGTACAAATGCACAACTGATGTAAATGTATACACTCCCCCGATTACAAAAAGAAAATATCAGTGCTAAAAATTACAGCATAAAGCATTAACACAAATTACAGCACAAGGTGTTCAGCCTGCTCCCAGATAAGTTTTGTTGGTTAAACAAATTGTAGAGAATCTTTGAGGATAAATTGTACAAAGCTAACAGTTTATCTTGGTCCTATAAGTTGTTCCTCATGTCATAAGGGTTTTCTGCCACAATTTTTTTCTGGTCCCTTGAGTTTCATTGTGGAGAGACACCCTGTACTAATATTGAAAGTCTGAAAGTCTGCGTCCTTTCCCGAAAAATGCTTGTCCTCTTTATGTAGGAAAAGTAGTTGATTCGAGGCTGATTTTCATGTGTGCCAGAAAAATAGCATATTCTGTATGAACGATCTCTGAGGATGAATGAGCGTTGATTTGTTTCTACTGATACATGAACAGTTGAACCGTATCCCGCGTTACCCTAACGGCGCGTGTCGACAGAATATGAAGGAGACGAGTAGCTGATTCCTGGGTTAATTTTTTTCTTGCTGTTGCAAAATAATTCGGTCTTATTCATATCGAGTTTATTTTGGGTCGTTTGCAGAGGGAGTTGATGGAGCAAGACGAGTCGCTCTTGGAGACGCTGCTCGGACTGCACGAGAGCATAGAAAACCTGAAGGCCCGTCGACAAAAGGACCCCGTGCGATCGGGTCGAGGTCGGACTAACCGGGATCCCGACGAGGACGTGGATCTCGACTTTGACCAGGATCATGACGACGCTGCGAGACCTGTGATGACCCCGACGATGGACGACCATTTTTCTGACGACGTCGATGACCACTGCGAAGATTCCCGACTCTGGCCCGCTTACGACAATGACGACAGCGCGTCTGTCTGCTCTGCGTCACTCGCCTTGTCGGGCAATGAGCAAGACGACGACAACGTCGATAAACCTGTGAGTTCTTTCTAGAAATATTTATCAATACATATGACAATTCTTTATGAAGAACGGGTTCAGAAATCCCTGCAAAAAAACCGTACACAAAATCCTGAAAAATCTCCTTGAATCAAATTTTAAAGCTTCATGAAAACAGATGGACTATTCGCTGAAGTTTCCGTTTTTTTCCTTAGAATACAGTATCATAATTTTATAACCCCCATGTACACTGACAACAGTAAAAAAAATTTACCTCAGGATGAAATCACTCATTACTTCGATAAAAAGAATAGCCAAGTTTTTTATATTCATCGAAAAATGTGTTGCTTTTAATGAGAAACATGTGACGCAATGCTGCAGGAGGAATTTGTTGATCTGTTTTGTACTTTTCTGATGCTGTAGAGCCAGAAAAGAAGAGGGAGTTGAATAAGCCATCGTGATTCTAGAAAAAAACACTTATTATCGGGATTTGGAAGTTCGTTATAAGATTTCTCCTGTACTTCAGAGAGTTTGAGAACCGTCTCTGACTAGAAGGGCCGTTATCAACATTTTTTTGCTTTAAAATCGTAGAACTTTTCTTGCTGATGCAAAACGCAACCTCGCAGCATTCAGTTTATTTAGAATTGAAGTCAACGAATTCTCCTCATGCTGCGATTTTCAGCTTTATCTATTCGCACTCTTCCAGCAAATATCGATTCCAACTCTTGTGCGCTTGAAATGAAATCGATAGTACTGCAGTATTTCACTGATGAAATGTAAGGATTTATATATCGTCTGCAATCATCGAGAACTTTTAATTATCTCTGAATTTTTCAACTTCGTCAAATTCAAGTAATATCTGTACAGAATCGGAATTTTTCGATTATGTTATGCGAAAATTTTCCATTGGCTACTCCACCTGCCTTTCGGTCTAAAATTTCGGGCACATCAGTGTTCAATGGGTGAACTGTTTGATAGATTCTTTTGATTTTTGGAGTTATGCTTTCAAAAATCTATGTCTCTCAAGAAACCTTATCTAGGGCAGCTACTTTCATTTGTTTTGCCCCGAAGTCTTACGTATTATTCATGCCACAGAAGGTTTTGTTCATGTTTCGTCTCTAGTTCAAATTTATCGTTCCTCATGAAAGTACTGTACTCATTTGTTGGTTTTTACATTTTGGAAGAATGCAAGTTAATTTACTTTTCCCGAATCGGCAGCTTATTGCAAGCTTATGAACTGTAATATGCTTTGAATCGCAGCATTAGAATTTCAGTTCTCGGATCTGATGATGAATCTACTCGAGGTGCAACTCAGTACTAAATTATATTACAGTAATATCAAACTGCAGCGTTATTTCCTTCGAACAATGATGGCCCACGATTCCCGACCTTCTACGAGTCTACATAACGTATAATCTGTGCGACATAAGGAGATTGGACCATGAATTTTGGCGAGCTTTGTGTGGCCTGTCTTTCAGTATGCGTCTGCTCGCTAGTGTAATTTTAACTGTCGTGTTCGTGCATCCTACGCGAGTTTGCCGTTTTTCATCTACCACCTTGAAGTGTGAAGTATTGAATCACGGATGTAAGCACGAATCTTGAGCTCAACGTGCAAAAAGAGTTCGGTTTCCTCTTTGGTATTCTTGCGCAATGTGCATTCATTCGGAAATAATTCGAGTAATCTAAAAGTTTGATTCAATCTTTTTTCGAGCCAGTTTATGTTCTACGTTCACTTTTACGTTGTATCTTGAATCGTGCTTTTTGAAAGAATGAAGCTTGTAAAACATGTGATGAGCTATTAAAATTGAAACGGCGAACGTACAGAGCGACAAATTTTATGTCACGTGGCCCACTGGCAGATCTCACGCCGCAGTAGTTGAACCAGAAACGGGACACAAAAAGTTAGTATACGATTTTCTCTTGTCTCGTTCATCAGTCTTGAATTTTGTCATGTTTTTAACCCGATACAATCTAAAAATTCGGCTAAAGGAGTAATTTCGACTGCCCCATTTGTTATACTCGCGGCGTCTCTTTCTGTTTTGAACATTTTGCGCTACCACGGTTCGATTCGAGGTTATTTTCGCCTGAAATGTCGGTTCGTTACATGGGTCGCTCTTTGTGAGACTGTTCTCTTTCCTTCTCTGGTTTCAGGAATTCCGAGGGTATTACTCCAGGGGTTTCGTCCGACAGCGCGTTTCGTACCCGCCGATCGCCCGGAACCGTGTCTCCAATGCTGGCAGTCCCGAGAAAGCGCGTCTGTCGACTGACGAAGGTGACAAGACGTCGACACCCAAAAACCCTCCGTTTGAAGATGCTGGCGAAGATGTGCTTCCGTTTCCTGATCAGCTGCCGACACCGACACCAATGGACAAGAAACGTCATGAGGTGTTTGTCTGACGTCTTGTGTAGGAACAAGAAGGACGATTTAACCTACCGAGTGAATTCACCTTCTGTGAGGAGTCCTAGATTTATATCCCGATGACTTCTGGTCCTTTTTTTAATTTGAAGAAACCGGCGGATGTTCTGGAAACTCGTCTTGGAATAGTCAAAATTTGTGTCCTGCTCTTGAATGAGAAAAGGAAGGTGTAAACAAAACAGTTACTAAAAGTGTTTCCTGAAGTTGACGGGTTCATTTTTACTTCGCTTCTTCATTCAGCGTCTTCACGAGTTATAGGCTGCACCTGAAATTTTCGGCGCATAAAATTTGTCAAGGTCTTGCGAAAAAAATGGCTGACGGCATGCTGATATGTAAAACGGATTATAGACTTCGCTGGATCGAGCATTTGGCTGTGCTTCAGACTCCTCGATAGCATGGATCGCCTGTCGAGGCTTGATTTACAAGCAATAGTGTCAGTAACTCTATATTACAATATAAGGATTTTTTTAGCAACAGCTAACCTTGAACTCGATTTAGAACTAAAGTAATGTACTTGTGTTGATGGCCAGTTCATCGTGCGTGTTGAGGCAAAGTTTTATGCAGTTGAACTCTAGGGACTTTCTCCCGAGTTACTTTTGTACGTGTGCAAACTTCATGCATCCAGGCCCGTTCTACACACGTATGCACTGCACACAAAAAGAAAAATTATTGCAATCGATCCCAGTTCGACTCTTGATGCTCGCGAGACTTCGGGTTCCCTTTCTTTGGTCCTACAGCAGAATAAGAACGGCATCTTTCCGTGATACAGTATTATTTTTGCATTTTAAAAATTCGCGATGCTTGTGAAGAAAAATTCCTTTGTTCTTCGTCAGATCAGGTTGGAATAATAATCGTTTTCATCTTGCTGATTGCCATGACCTGCATAATTTGTCACAATTTCGCTTCTCTGTTCGAGGTACAGTAGTAACCTATGTGGATGCTTTATTTATTCAAAATTTAAAAATTACAAATTACTCTCACTTTCTAGTGAAGAGACAGAAGTCTCGTTGATTTAAGGGGGCTAAACGGAAGTACGATAAAAAAAAAGAAGCACGGCAACTGTCGAAAGAGGTGCTATTCTTATCCATGTCACAAAATGTTGATCATTTACAGACACAGAGACGATTTCAGTTCCCACTGTATAGTCACCTCAATCAAGTCTCATTCAATATTTTAATTAATAACCTCCGACGAAGGAAATAATTTGTTTGCCTATAGCTTCCGAGAGAAAACATCGCAATTTCTTGGAATAGCCGCAATATTCTTTGAATATTTAGATAGCCGCAAGCCGTAGTGTTCTATGAAAAAAAAATGCTGCAGAACTTTGATTATCTTGGCGTAATCCTCTGAGTACACTCGCTCGGTTAATCGAATGTCACGAATAATTTAGAACTGTTGAAAAAATTTAGCGAGGATGCAGAAAATTCAATAATGACTGAACCAACTTTGCTGACATTCCCGCGACTCTCTGGTAGTACTGTATCAGCACGGATAATAGTACAATAATTTAGAACAAATAAATCCGCTTAATTTGAAATCACGAGCTGAGTAGGAAGTTCTGTTCGCTTTCGATGCTTCGACACGTGGGTCTATAAATGATGATTGCATTGCCAGATGAACGGAACCAGAATAATTTAAAATGTTTATGCTTGTTTATGCCCGTTTAGGCCAACACAATTTATAAATTTTAAAATAACCGCGGAAACGATGCGTTCAAGCGCAGCCCATGTTGCCTGTGCGGTCTGGGTCCGGGACGACGGAAGTGTGTGATTGATTCGCGAAGACGCGAGAAAGCCGGAGTCGCATCGCGAGCACACGATAGGTAGGAATTAACGCGCCCGTTAACTCAAACCCACCACATTTTTTTTTTTTACATTTTTAATAATTATTTTTTTTACGAATGGGTTCCCTCTCATTCGCGGTGGAATAGCGTGACACGAAGTCACGGGCGAGCACCTTACTGGAGTCGGGTCATTCGCCCCCCCACCGTGACGCAAGGCAAACGCGTATCCGAGAAAACCCTGGTCACTCTACCTGGTTATACGAGGCCTGTTCTTTGCTTCTTGTCTGTATCGCTATGGTTTCCGATCTTCTTGACGTTGTGCAGAGCCTTACATAACAACGAATAAATCTGTAAGGCTGGTGATCCTGCGTCTTACTTCCAGTTTTATGTTTCTACTTACAAATACTGCACATTACAGCAGTATACAGTATACAAGCGTTGTTCCAGCTCTGCGTGGGTTCGATCCCAGAAAGGGTGCCAGCAGAAAACTGCTCAGGTTGAGATGGAAAAGCTTTCATAGTTGTTATTTCGTATCATTTCTTGGCTCCACAATCTCTCATAACTACTGCAATTATTTACGATGCACTCTTGTGGTACGTGCAGAATTTCATTTCCGAAGGTGAAATTTGGGAACATTATCTTGAAATAGCATCATAATTTGTAGTTGATGCAATGTCAGATTTTGAGGGAAAACTGCATTTGCTATATCATTAAATATTTTTTGGCAGTTCTTTTCTGTTTTCTCCCTTCATGCGGAACTCAACGATTCTGGTGAAACATAAATTTGTTTCATGTTTCACGAGTATTTCCTTTTTTTCATGTTTCAGGTCCTAATTAACATTAGGACAGGTTACAGTACTCGGTTAACTGAGACGTGGTTTGAGATCGATGTGACGCTTGATCTTAAAATTTTCAAACGGAAGTAAAATTCGAATAAATTAATGTAAGTTTCAATTTCATCGGAGACTGAAGCATGTTTCCTCGGGTCCACGAGCCGCGATCGATCGAACTTTTCATTCTTCAATATCCTTCTATTTTTTATTTATAATTTTTCTGGAGTGCAGAAGTTCGTAAACTATTGGTTGGGCGACTTCGGTCATTAAAATAGCTCTTTCTTGTCTTGCTCATCATGTGGGGCTTGGAGGGATTTTCCTCTGTGCAGAAGTGGTTCAAACAAGATTGTGCCAGATGAAGGAGCCCTCGACGGGTCCGTTTACCTCAGCTGGCGGGTTTGTGGTTCAAGTTAGAGTCCCACATATCGTGTGCTGTCCTTTCGAATGGAAGGGTCCGAATGATGGGGTTATCACGGTTATTATTGTGCTTTGTTCTTTGGAGGTCTGTGGGAAGGTCACAGCTTTGAGATCTACTGGCTGACGAACGTAGATTTCCGCCATAGCCATCATGTTCTGAAACGCTGAAATGAAGCCTTTAGTGATCATTGTTCATCCATGCGTCATCACTAAACCTCACTTGGGCAACTTAATTCTTTGTTTAATTTTTTCTAATCAACGTTCATTGGTGGAATGTAATGAACTTGGTATTTTTAATCACTGGAATGACGTCATGGCTGCGCTTATGATTTTTTTAAACCTTGAGTCTTCTAATTACTTTTTGAAAGAAACAGAGGTCTCGCGAAAATGAAAGCTGATGACCTCGGCTTGCTTGATTTATTCGGAGAAGAAGGATGCCTTCAGTTAGGTTATTATTGCTTTTGAAAAATTCAAGTTTCTGACGAAGGAAATCGATTCAACCTTCGCGTAGATTTTCTCTGACGGGAGACTGCTGATTTCTTCGTCCCAGTGTGACTGTGATAGAATTTATTCGGCATAACAAGCAGTTGAAGGTTCCGGCGCTTTTGTTGTCTTCAACTGGGGAGTCAAGCGTTTTGATGCGGTTCGATTTTGTTACGGGCGCGGAAAGACGCGACCGGACTTCCTGAGGTTCCTTCCGGTTTTTGGGCGCGCTGTTGATGCTTTTGCTTGGGGTGTTGATGCTGAATTACCTTTTGATGTACCGCTACCGGAGCTTTGAATATGTCGCTGCCCTGAGTAAAAACCCAAGTTTTTGACAGAAAACTGCATCATCTCTCTGCAATCATCTTTTTTAAGTTTTTGCTTTGCAGGAATATTTTCTGGGTGATTGAGGAGATCATCCACGTAAATTTTCATCTGGAACCGAGTATGTTTTCAAAACTAATGTACTCTGTGTTTTTAGGATTCCGTGATGACCTCTCCCGTTTGGTAACTGTGTGGAAGAAGTGTTCCGAGATGTACTATTGATTTTTTAAATTTTATTCATTGAATTGCCTCTGGCTCTATCTTCAAGCCCTATTTCCAGACTCATTTCTGTTATGAATGTGAATGCCTTATATTAAGAGTACATTATTTCTGTTTAACCATGTATATTACTGCCGGAGAAGTGAGAACTGATGACGAAGTGATTGATGGATTTTAATATTCCTCTGCCTTATAATCCTAGAGTCAAACCTCTGTAAATTAAACTCACAAGGACCCACGAATTTTAACGGAAGGAACTTTTGAGTTGGAGGAACTAGCATTGCAAGTAAAGATAATGAATTACAGGAAGATGGAATTAAAGTCAAGGTTACATTTGTCCGATTACTGTAGTAGCTCACTTTCTTTTGAGAAGAATCAACTTGCACTTATATATTCTTCAGGGAAGAAAGTCTTTGAATTAAGCGGATCATTGTTTTGAAGGAAAATCAGCTCTGAAGTGAAAAAAAAAAAACACTTGAGGCAGAGAGGTTTTTTACAAGTAAGTTACAGTAGTTACTACTTCACGTATACTGCACTCATTCGATCCTTCCTTGACTTCTTTAGCCATGTCACTCATCATAGCTTTTAAGATTTCATAAAATAATGCTTTACTTTCCAAAATCTCGATACACTTCGACATTTCCTGCCTTTTCGTTGCTTTTTCTATTCCAGAAATAAAATATAACCGAGCAATAAGCCCGGTAAACTGATGCAAGACTGATTTCATTTTTTGAGATTTCAAGTCCTTCAAAATGTTTGTTCAACACCAACGCAGGTTTTAATCAAGTCTATTTCACGTTTTGGGCACCAATCTGAATTCCTGAAATTCCAAGTGTAATTTAGCGCACTTTATTTGTCAAAGTCGAAGTGAAATTTCTCGCATGTTGTTGCGGATAGAATCATCAACGGGATACGGGTAAAAGCAAGAAATGCCTGTTTTTTTCGAGTAGTTTCGTCCTGAAATTGAGAAGATTAACCAAGGCGCATTTCGAATTTTCTGCACAAATACATTTCATGACATGTTGTACTAACGGTCTATAACGCCATGCTAAGTCAGTTTTTGCGAGGCAGATCTGGATAATATAGTCAGTAAACGACATTATGCTCAATTATGCTGGTACCAGGTACACGGAGCTATTTTTCCGAGCTATTTTATTTAAATCAGCTTCACGCATCACCGAAGGAACTCAAATCATTGCCAGCGCTTCGCATTTTGAGGCATCAAAAACTCGAAAGCTTTTATCGCTCGAGTCAGACGCATCAATTGTACGCGAATAAACGCCTTCGGGAAGTAAGATACAGCAAGGAATACTTTCATGAATAGCAAGTGCATATTAAAAATGCACGTATCCACTGGGGCTATTAAGGGAAAGTTGAGAAAGTTCGCGATGCGAGCGAAGGTAACTCCGGGCATCATGCAAATGGGCCTCACGAACGAGTCCACGGAGCATTCGAGAGGTCCTCGAAGCGAATGACTGAACCAGCTACCAAGGGAATGCTCATTAGCAAGCACCCCTTGAATCGAATTCCCGCCGTGTCCCAAAATAAATAACATCGTTCTGATCCATTTGAAGGCTGAATGTATTTCCGTAGTCCTGAAAAAAAAATAATTTGTGCTCCCTCAACAACAAGGGTACAGTTTCGTCAACAAAGACATGCGTGGACTCAGGATAAAACTTGCAACAATAATGCGCGGAAAGCGCCAACTGATGTTCATCACTGATCACTGCAATAGTCATTTGCTACCAAATAAAAACAAAGTGTGCCGCCACTTTCCGCGGCTCATTCCCCTCCTGACACCAAAAAAAACAAAAAAAAAAACACGCGCAGCTACAAATTCTACATGTTGTCAATATCGCAAAACGTGAGCAAGTGAGCAAACAGTTGAGCGCGTCCAGAAACAGCGGAAGTACACATCAGCATTTTACACACAGATGTCAAGAGCAGAAGTGCACCTGTGTCAACACAGTTTCATAACAGCCCACGAATACGAGGGGTTTTCAAGTCAGTTTACTGTATCCACATTTATCTGAACTTGGTATCCTCATGAACAAAATAAGTCAAAATTAATAAGATCTCATCCCCAAACACATAATTTTATGCGGATACCGCTCAGTGCTTCCGTAGTTGTTAACTTTCACTGCTTTTCTTTGACTTTATAAAGAAGCTCCTTCTTGAACGCGCAGATTTGTCCTGATGGCGACCGCATCTCAGAAGTCTCCTCTTTTATCAACGTCAGGCTCAAGATGATTCCTTCATCACTGGACAAGAAATGTGCCCCAATTAATCCCGGACCGCGAAACAGAGCGGCACTGACTCGTTAATCTCTCAAGATCCGGAAGGATTAAGACGGCGACCTAGTCGAGGTCGACGAGCTATGCGCGTGATTCGATGATTGTCTTGCGCAACTCTGGTTGCCGATTACAGTATTCGTTCTGTGTCGGGGGGGAACAAAGAATCATCATTATCTGCCGTCCAAGGAATTAATCCGAGGTTCACTCACGAAGTTATTTAGTTAAATCGACGCGGAAACCAACGCAAGTGCGACTCGACGGAGTTGAAACATCGGAAGACTGAGCATTACCATGTCTCAAGAGAAAAATAAGTACATATTCATAAAGTAAAAATTTGGATAATGATCGAATCGAGCTTATTTAGTTACCGGATCATCGCTGATGCTCAAATAAATACCTGACTGTCAGTATTTTTTTTTTCGAGCGGAAGAACCATTCCTCAGGATTTGTTCTGATTCGATCACATTTCAAATCGTCGACGAGAGATTTATTTTAAGGGCCAAATTCAGAATTCGAAACAGTAAGTATTATTTTAAATGCTTTTCCTTGCGCGAACGCCGTTGAATAGATTCCGTTGGCACCGCGCACGCATCGAAGACGGAACGCTCAATTCATATTGCATTTTCGCGGGGAAACTTTGGTGCTGGGACTTCCTGAGGCACATGCACTTGGGTTGAACCCCTGTGTTGAAACCCTGGGAACCAAGGAAGACGTGGTGTAGGCGAAGATGAATTGAGACGAGTCTTCGTGATGAGGGCCTTAAAATTTCGCTTTTGCCGCTCATTTGTTCTTCATGTAGCGCATGTGTCGAGTCGCGCGCCCGAAAACCAGTCCGCCCACGAAAACGACTGCGGCGGAACAGGTGACGATGAAAACGAACATGCTTTTCACCGGAGACCCCGTCACAACATCCTTCAGGTCGATGAGTGTTTGCGGGGCTGAAATCTGTGGGATGATCAGGGGTGTCAATAGTCACATTGTCGGGGAAACATGGCTGGAATATTGATTTCAGAAGCAGGTCGAAACTTTATCCGATTGAAAGAGTGTCGATTATCTGCTCGATTATTCGGAGATTTAACGTAGAAGGGATATTAAATGTCCCACATAACTTTTAAATAAGCCACGTTATGTCTCCAACTCTTGGATCAACTTCAATTTACACTACACAGCTGTGTTTTCCAACCTTTTTGGTCCCGCGGACCAGCAAATGTCCAAAAACATTTCTGCGGACCGGCACAGTTTCATGAAATTTTCGGAGGACCAACAAATTTTCATAAAATTTTTGCATGCTCAAAAAAGTGTTTCTTGAAAGGCAGCTTAAATGGCAGGTATTTGAAAAGCTTCAGCTTTGTTTGCAAAATTAATTCAGGAACCAATGAAGCAGCTACAGTGGAATGTCTTCAAAAAATGGAAAGGTGGGCTTGAAGAGAGGTTTTCCAGACTCAAAAATTAAAATCATTTATTAAATCAGATAACAATTCATGTGGAGTATTATTAGGAGAAAAGCCAAGATATATTTTTCATGAGATAATTTTAACTGCCATCTTCTTGCCAAAATTAAAAATAAAGGTACTGTAACGTCCTTCATTGCTGCTAGTGAAAAATTCATTAGCCTTCATTAACCTGGGGAACTTCCCGCGGACCGGCAAAAAACTACTGCGAACCGGCGCCGGTCCGCGGACCACGGGTTATGGAACCCTGGGTTAGAGTATTAGACACTTTCTGAATGAATTCACGCCTGGTCATCATTGAATACAATTAGTTAATGAAAGCAAGATAGCTGGTTTTAAATTGAAGAAAAAAATGTTAAAAGGTGTTCAAACGAGAAGCAAAATTTTCTGACCACTTTTGCTGACATCCCCCGCCCATTAGAAGAAGGGTGAACGAGGGTACCTGGGAAATGTGCTTCTCTTTAAAAACTTTCCGAAATGAATCGTGATTCCCGCCCGGTCATCATTGAATACAATTAATCATTGAGTAGGTATTATTTCGCTCGATTATCATCGACATTTAAAGGTCCAGGCGAAAGGACCTGGTCAGCAACCCGGATAATCAAGGGTCTCCTGTATTTGCTGATGGCAATTCCGTGAAATAACACCGACGAATAAAGTTAGAACGATAAGAAATGAACTTACCCTGGAAGCGAAGCTAAACATTGCCCGACGGGCGACAAGTTTCTCATGGCACTCGGATGATAACACCTCACTGTCAGTGTCAGCAACACTCATGAGG